AGTAGGCTCATCCTTGAGTGAATAAAATTCGCATATTACCCCCGATCCTAATTATAACACCTCGTTTATAATTTACAAATAAGTTTTTATAAATAAGACTGGAAGTAATATTACTCCTCCGATCTTTATTATAAGACCCAATTTGACTTTTTATTTGGTCCTAATTATAAGACCCAATCCATTTTGTCTCTTATGTTTATGCATTTTTTTCCAAGATAATCCTTCTAATAATGATAGTTTTAGCCAATATACTTAATTAGCAAGGATATTTTAGGAATGACAACACTTATTTATTATAAATAACCAACTTAACTTACTTCCTTATTTCCTCAAATAAGTTAATTGGGTCTTATAATTAGGACCGGAGGAGTATAATATATGCTGCATGTAAGTAAAGAATAGTTGATTAAAAGAAAAAGAAAAAGAGAAGAGTTGGCCTTGGTAAATATAAGTTATACTTGAATCTTTGAATAAATTTAAGGTTGGATGATAAATTTTAGGATTATCTAGTAAATTTGGTCATATTTTAGTTTTGATTTGTAAAATTTAAAACAAATAAAATAAGATCAAATTTAAAAAACTAAAAATTATATTAACTCTAAGTAATTTTTCCTAATAAAAAGAAGATAAAATACACGCGGAATGGAAGTCAAGAACCTATAATGATGTGATAGAAGATGAATGAACCATGTGGACAGTGACAATACCGGTAGCCGCGTGCCCAAATGGCATGCGTTTTTTATGATGATACTAGTGGTTGTGATTGTGATGTCGTACTCACTGGTGCGGGGCCAGCAATTCAATAATGTCAATTCAAATATCAAAATTTTTGTAATTTATACTTATAATTAAATTATGAAAATCAATAAAATTAGACCCCGTGCATGCCAATAATAATTTCGTCGATCCAACTCAAATATGAGATCTTGTTTGAAAAAACTAGATATCAAATCACTTGATCAACTATAATTAGTTGGCTTAAAACTCATTTGAACTAATAAATAATTTATGCCTATTGGCAAAAGAAAAAATTATGCTGTTTACACTTTACAAGTTGTAAGTATGTGTGGCTTGTTATTGATTTATAGGTACGCTTACTCTGGTTGTAATTACTGTCTCTTTAGCTTGTGATACAGTTTTTATTTAAAAAAAAAAGATTTGCTATGAATTTTGCATTTTTGTATATTAGCATTATTAATATTGATAACTAAATGTGTTTTTTTTTTCCCACAAAAAGTTATGATTTTATTGATTACAAAAAAAGTAAATACAATCATTAATAAACAGTTTAAAACGCAAGCAACCTATCCGCAAAAAAACAAACAAAACAAGGAAAGAAAAAACACTTAAAGAGTGTTTGGAAGCACCAAATAATGCTTCTTCTTAGAAACACTTTTGTCATAAAACGAGATAAACTTCTTCACATATTTACTTTATATATCATAAAAATATTTTTAAAATTATAGTTTGGTTTGTATCTAAACACTCTTTTAAAATGAAACGTGTCAGCCAATTCCATTTTCCCGATCAAAAATACCACTATATATCCAACTCTGAAGTTGCATGCCGAGCCACCTCCGAGTCCCTGGCAATAAAACGAGCAAGAAGAGGTGTTGGCTCGCTAACTCATGCTCGGGTACGGTTCTTTTCGGACTTCCACGACAGTATGCAGCCTGCTTGATAAGGCGTTTTGAGGGGGAAAACAACAGTTTAGACGAGTCACAAGTTAATTTACAAATTTAAAAATTATTTATCACATTTTTAATCAATTTGACTTATGAATCAAAAGCTATTTTTTTTAAATATGATTGTAAAAACATTTAAAATTTAGTTATGACTTATGTAAAAATAACTTTTTAGAATTAAAAGATATTTTTATCTTTATATTTATGTTGTTCCTATGCTTCTTTCTCTATATATTCTTTTTGCTTCTCAATCAATTTTAGTTATTTGTTTTTAATATTCTCTTATGTAATATTATTTGATTAAAAAATTTTCACATTACTATGATTTCTAATGTAAATATATTTTATTAAATAAATATAAAATTATTATATTTTGTAAATTTATATTTTAAATTATTTTTATTATTTAATAAAAGTCATACATATTTTGGTCATTCTACAAACTAAACTTACTTATTCAATCATAATCCAAATAACTTTTTTACTTCATAAACTGATTTTTATAAAACTCAATCCAAGTACAAATCACATTACTCAGTCTAACTTTTATCCAATCTCATTTTTTTTAAAAAGTCAGATTGAAAACAAGTTTTTTTCTTCGCTAATAAGTTTATAATGAGATGTTAGGAAAAAAAATCAGTAAGTTCTAATGCCAAGTGAACAGTTGTTATTTATTATTCCTGGTCCTTAATATAAGACCCAATTTTTAAGTTGGTTTTAGTTCTAAATATAAGACCCATTTCTCATATTTATCAACTCTCTCTAAATTACCCTTACAGATACTCCCTCAACCATAATCAAGTAGAAGAGGGAGAAGAGGTATTATGGAAAATGATTATGGTGTTTTAGGAAAAACATGTCATATTTCTTATAATTAACTAACTTACCTAACTTTCTTAATCTAATAAAATTAGTTAAATGTGTCTTATATTAAGGACCGGAAGAGTATTATAAAACTTATTATTATAGGATACACTATTATTACTGAGATTTTTTTAGTAATTATGATTTTTACTTAGACTTTCACAACAATTCTCCCATTTACCTTGGACAATAGATCTCTAATATCTTGCAATCAAAGACAGCATTCCCGTTCCCCGCAAAAATATCTACTTCCATTTTTAACTCAAATGTGTTTATTTTTCACACTATGCAAGCTCGAGAGAAAATATGTTATTGCTGTGTATAATTTATAAATAGCACTGTTTGTTGTGAATTTTGTTGTATTGAACAGCTGGATTTTGGCGATCTATTGTTTCAGGAAAAGTAAAACAGGCTCTTTATGTGATTGAGAATGAAGAGTGCGAAAGGGACCTGGATACCCCAGATTGGGTTAGCACTAGTAGCCCCCATGACCCTCAATCATGCCCCCTTTTTCATCTTTTCGTACTTAAAAATAATGAACGATCAGACATCTATAAAAGCTGATCCAGTGAACAACGAAATTCAACTATTTCTTTTTCTTGCTTGTTAAAAAATAATTCACGATAAAAAATTAATCTTTTTATTATTTCTAATTCTTAATATAAAAACTCATTTGATTTTTATTTTGATTTTAAATATAAAACTCTAATCTACTTTATCTCTTATATTTATTTATTTTTAAGATATTTTTTGTAATAATGATAATTTTAACTAGTATACTTGACTAGTAAAGATATTTTAAAAAAACAATGTCTATTTATTACAAATAACTAACGTAACTAATTTTTTTAATGTACTTAAATTAATCAACTATTTTTATATTAAAAACCTTATAGGTGATATGAAGAATTACAATGAGATCCCAAGTAAGGAAAACAATTGAAAAATAAATATCAGAAGTTGTCATTCTCATTATAAAACTTGTTATTATATGTTGTCGAGGTTGTTATTAGGATTTTTTGATAATTATGTGAAATTTGATTGTAATTCTTTGTAGGTGATATTAGTTTTTTTTTTTTTTAATCAACTCTTCACTGGCCCAGACGCTAATGCATGCGCTGTCTTCCAGTTTCAAAGGCTGGGACGCTGCATGTGTGTCTCCATCTGATGTCAGTGGGTGGGGGATCTCATATGGATCACAAGCACATAATGCATCTTTGATTAATTAAAACGCGTGCTTATTTACATGATAATAAAACCTAATTCGGATTCGAAGTTGGTGGAAGAGACTGGTGAACCACTTATTTCTACCCTGACCCGAACTCAAACGTAGATACTTTCATCAGAAATAAATAGGACTAATACTACATAAATTTCAAAATTCTAAAACAAAATTTCATACAAAAAATACGTTATTATTTATTTTTTTAGTGTATTTAATTGCTATTAAAATGTAAAAAATAAGACTCATTTGAGGTTTTGAAATGTTTAAATTATTTTTTTTTGGAGATTTTTCTCCCCCCTAAATGCAAGAATTATTAGACCATTATTTGATGCATTTATTTGTTATTCATACCATGCCTCCAATTCTTTCAGGGAATAATAAAATTAATGACATTAATAAATATTAAATAGTAACGTGTAAAACATTTAATATCCTTTTTAAAAAAAATAAATCTGCATTATATTTAAGACCCAACTACTGTTTTAATTATTTGTTCTTTTTTACACAAAAAGGACTAAAGGAATATTTCTTCATTAGCCCATAGTAATCTAAAGGTATTGTTTGTTTGCACTTTTTCTTTCATAAAAGAATCACTTATTGTTTTGGAAAACAAAATTGTCTTTGTAAAATTTTACAATACTACCTCCGGTCCTAATTATAAGAGTTAGTTGACTAATTAAGGAGATTAAGAAAAGAAATAAAGTTAGTTATTTGTTATAAATAAGTATTGTTTTTCTTAAAATATCCTTACTAATTAAGTGTATTAGCTAGAACTACTATTGTTAGAAGGATTATCTTTGAAAAAAATAAATAAATATTAAAAATAAAGTGAATTAGGATTTTATATTTAAGATCAAAATAAAAATCAAACGAGTTTTTATATTAAAAACTGGGGGTAGTATTTGTTTACCCGAGACAAACAGTCCTATTGTTTTTTTTCTGGGTTAGAGACCCAAACTCTTTGGGTTCTACCAAATGTGCTGCTTTTATGATTGCCTAACTGAAAAGCCCAATTTATATCTATCATCTATCAAGTGAATTGAATTTCGTATAGGCTGGCTAGTGGCAAAACTCTAACGCCCTATTCGGTATTAGTAAAAAATTATCATTACTAGTACAAAAAAAAGGCCTTACTCAAGCCCAGGTTCGGCCCAAAAGGAGGCCCATTAAGGACAATGAATAAACCCTAATAAGATCACAGCCGTCCAATCCAGGATTTGGGGCGTTTTATTTAAAAACCTAGCGGTCTCATTTTCATCCCTCGTTTCTCCTTGTTGCGGCCGCTCGTGGAGAAGAAGCCCCAGGTAGTTCCAACTTTCAGCCTTTGTGCTTCTCGATTTTCAACTAGCACCTCTATTAGCTTCAGCCTTCGATGTTTCCACTGATTTCTTAAATGTTATGTGAGATCATGGCATGATTTCGCTTCAAGCCATTTAGTACTTTCTGGAATGTTGTAGCTGTTATTTAGGGTCGTGAGATTTCACTTTTCATTCAAACGTTAAGTTTCGTGTTTATGTTGGAAAACATGTTTGAGAATTACCAAACAAATCGATAAGTTCTTGTTCTGGCATTGAGAATGTGGAGGCAGAAGATTTATCACTCCATTCTTTGTGTTCCCAGCTGTCGAGGGGAATAGATGACATTTTCGTATGAGTTCGAGTTACAACTACTGATGTTCGAGGATTTTTATGGCCCTTTTTTCGTTGGATGTATGAGTGTTTTTTTTTTTTTTGGGCTTAGGGTTGGTTAGCTGCTATATGTGAATTGCAGACAATTGTTTTGGAAGGGAAAACTGTGGTTATTTACAGATAATGACATATAACACATAACTTCGGTCATAGATAACTGTCCATTTCATGGTTATCCTCGGTCTTACAAAGGCTTTAATCAGTGTGGTCTTGGAAAACATCAGTTTATATCCTTATCTCAATGACAAGATAATTTTATTTAACAGAACTTATCCCTAACTAGCTTGAATTATATTATGATGCTGATATGTGTCCAGTATGTTGTATGATGCTGAAGGATGGTGATAGTGGAGTTAGATTAATACATAAGTTTATTTAGTTTCCCCGCGGTTTTCACTGCCACAATTAACCAAAACCAATTCACCATTTCTTCCAGCATCATTCTGGCATCATATACCTTTCTTAAAGATAACATAAGAAAGTTATTTGGAGTTCATGAGTGATCTACCTGCTTTATTGTATTGTATGCTGACCCTATTTTCTTAATTTTTGTGGTTGTTTTAGTAGGTAAGCCATGGTTAAGCACAATAATGTTATCCCTAGTAGCCACTTCCGGAAGCATTGGCAGAATTATGTGAAGACATGGTTCAATCAACCTGCACGGAAGACAAGAAGACGGTTGGGTAACGGCTATTTAGCCTATTCATTCTTAGTATAATTAATTTTAAGCCTATAACATTAATATTAATTTGAAAGTCACTTTCTGTTGCAACTCATTTTCCCCCTATTTGGTCATGTGCTTGGTGCAATGATCAGCTCGCCAAAAGAAAGCTGTTAAGATTTTCCCTAGGCCTACAGCTGGGCCTCTTAGACCTATTGTTCACGGCCAAACTTTGAAATACAACATGAAGGTCAGAGCTGGCCGAGGGTTTTCACTTGAAGAACTGAAGGTATTGCCTTGTTTCTTTGACCCCCGCTGTCTTTGTTTTGCTTTATTGTTGATTAGGACAGGTCAGATAGCTTATAAAAATGTAGTGAGCATGATATTCATATAAGTTTTAGTTGCTAATAATTACCTTAGATTTGCACTAGTTTTGGTTGAGAATTTTCATATTGATGTAATCAGGAGAGACCGCTATCAGTTATTTCTGTTTACGTATGCTTTTCCTGCTCATGCTATGCTGAAAGCAACAACTCAGTTGTTGGCTGCATGCCGGTTCTCTGATAATGTAGTTTTGTTGACAATAGATGCTTGTTATTGATGGATATGTGCTTTTTCTACTGTAGGCTGCTGGTATTCCCAAGAAGCTTGCTCCAACCATTGGCATTTCTGTTGATCACCGCCGCAGGAACCGTTCTTTGGAAAGTCTTCAAGCTAATGTCCAGAGGCTGAAAACATACAAGGCCAAGCTCGTTGTGTTCCCAAGACGTGCACGCAAGGTCAAGGTAATACACAATATAATTAGCTGTTATATACATAACCATCATAACATTCATTTCTCGTACACATGCCCTTGTTAGAAGGCAAATAGAGTTCCCTGCTTGACATGTTTTTTGGACCTTCCCACTTTTCAGGCTGGTGATTCATCACCCGAGGAACTGGCAAATGCAACACAAGTCCAGGGTCCGTTCCTGCCAATTGTGAGGGAGAAGCCCTCAGTGGAGCTTGTTAAGGTTACCGATGATATGAAGGCATTCAAGGCTTATGAAAAGCTTCGTGTTGAGCGCACGAACAAGAGACACATTGGTGCCAGGCTGAAGAGGGCTGCTGAGGCAGAGAAGGAAGAAAAGAAGTGAAGTGCTGGTGAAGCTACCTAATATTCCCCGTGTAATCGTTAATCCTTGATATTTTTGTTCGAGTTTCAGTAGTCTTAAGAGCAAATTTTGTTCAGGATCTGTACCCTTTTACAAGTTATTTTCCGGATCGTTATTCTAGCTGCGTTAGCACAGTGGCTTGCATGAATATTTTGGGGTCAGTTTGGACCATAAATTTCAATTGCTTACCTTGAAAACCTTCCAATTTTCAATATTTCACTTAATTGTTTAAAAAAACTAGTTAAATGAGTTATTTATATTAATTAGATATTATATTTTTTAGAATATTTTTATTAATTAAGTGTATTTGTTAGAATTATAATTTACAGATCTGTGTTAAAAAAAATAAGTAAATATAAAAAATAAAGTGAATTAAAAATTTATATTTAAACTTAAAATAAAAGTTGAGAGAGGAAAGTTGTGCCGTTAAAGTTTCAGAAATCAGGATTCTTCCGACGTTTACGAGAGCTACAGCGGGATCCCAAATTTACGCCCGTTCCGTCTATATAAAGCATCTTACTCTTAGTGTTGCCCTCGTCTGATGCTCAACTTGCCTGAGCATGGTCCTCGCCATTGCTGCTGCATCGGTTCTTGCGAACAACTTAGGCCATTTACTAATTACTAGGCCAAATTATCGCCAAAAGCGAAAAAGCATGTATCCGTAACTTGTTCTCATCGTCCCCTTAAAACCAAGTAAAAAGAGTTGGCGAAAAAGAAAAAAATTGTAAACACAGGCGAGATGCGTGGCTGTATAACATGGGGCATACATTTTTCGAAAGAGTGCTTTTTGAAAAATGCAGTTTTATGTAGTTTTTCTGTTTTATATTAATCTTGATATTGACTGATATAATGTTTTTTTTCAGAAAATAAAATTTAAGTGTAAATATAAAATAATCAAAATCATGCATGGGCACACGCGCTTATTTACATGCACGTTTACATATTTCCGAGAATCCGAATCTAGGAGCTATGTACGTATGCTACATTGAAACATTCAATGGGCTCTTAAGACATTAATCAATCTCACTCAAATTTAAGCAACTTTTATAATTAAGATGGCTGCAAGAGACTTTTATAATTAATTAAAATTTATTAAGCCAAATTAATTAAAAGCAAACAAACAAATAAATAAATCGCTCTTGTTTAAGGGGAGGAACCAAATAGTTGCTAAATCAACACCCAGGCGGCTCCGGACGTAGCGCTTAGTGTTGTTGTGTAGAAGAAGCCAGAAGCAGATCTGTGTGCGGATCAATCTCAGAAAACCATAATGGGTTTGAAGGTAAACATTGATTCCATGTTTTCTTGCGAAGTTACATAATCAATCTCATGTCCACTTTCTATCAATCTAATCTTCTCCAATTTATGTTACCACAAGCTAATGATGTCAGATCCGGTTGTCTGTTTCCTAGGTTTTCAGATTAATTTCGTGATATTGATGTGTTCACGTAATTTACTATGTTAAATGGGACAGTACTGTTTTAAAATGTAGGTCGAATAAGCATATAACACATTTACAATGCTCAAAATAAACAGCAAAAATATCTTTGATAAGATAAGGTTGGAAATGAACAAGCCGAGCTTGGGATAATACATTCCAGAGAACAAAATGGGGTTTTAGGATCTGAAAACTATAGGATACAGGGTTCAAATTAATAGTTTATATGATGATTTTTAGTGAAATTGTTTTGTTGAATGCTGAGATATAAAGCTCCAAAAAGAAAGACTTATTGATGAAGGGAAATTCTTTATAGTTCCGGGCTTCCCTGATCTTGGTTATACAAAAGATTTAAAATTAAGGAATAGGGGAGTAAACTTTTGATTTGACTCACATATTGTATTTTTTTTTTAAGTCACTAAAATACTTGCACTATTATTATTGTCCTTTCATAAAGTTTGTCTTTTTGGTATTAAATCTGTACTGGAGTTGACCTCACAGTTAATTTTCATATCAAGATCAGGTTTATAACACCAAAGATCTAGATAAACAATGTTTATAAAGTTATATATTTGAGATGGAAATGAGATTGAAGGGTTGTGTCTTAATGAAAAATGAAGGAGGAATTTGAGAAGTACGCAGAGAAAGCCAAGATTTTGCCAGAAAGTACATCGAATGAGAACAAACTCATTCTCTATGGACTGTACAAGAGAGCCACTGCTGGACCTGTCAACACCAGTGAGTTTCTCTTGTTTCCTCATTTCCTTTAGCTCTTCAATTCTCTCTTATATGGCTGCAGAATTCTGTTTTAAAAAAATTCAGAATTTATCTGTGACAATTCAGTTTTTGTCACTTGGAAAAATCTTTCAGTATTTGGCTAAGATCTTGTTGGTATAATGACATGCGATACAAAGCCTATATTTTCTCATCATACTCCTTCGGTTTAGTTAATGTTAGTTCTATATGTAAAATCTATTTTATATGTTTATCAATTTTAGTTAATTGGGGAGTATTATTAGCTAATTTAACTAACATATTTACTCTATTCAAATTAGTTAATTAGGTTTTATATTAAGAACTAAAGTATTTATTTTTAGTTATTTCCTCTATCTAAGTTACTGAAATTTTCTCTTCTTGTGTATGATTTTCAGGCCGCCCAGGAATGCTCAACATGAAGGATAGAGCCAAGTGGGATGCTTGGAAGGCTGTTGAAGGTAAAATCCAATCGCTTTGGTAATTCTCGGGACGCAGGAGTGCTTATTTGCATCAATTTATTAAAAACCATTAAAATCTTTCCAAAGGGAAAAAAATTTTAGTGAGGTCTCACATGTTTCATATCTATCTGTTCTTGAAACTGATAAATTCAAGCCTCGAGGTAAAAAGGAGAAAAAACACTTGATTCACTGTGTTTTGTGGTAATCAATACTCCTTCGATGCTTAATATAAAATCTATTAAACTAATTTGACTAGATTAAGAAAGCTAGGTAAGTTAGTTAATTATAAAAAAAATATGACATGTTTTTCCTAAAATATTATAATCATCTTCCTCAATATTCTCTCTCCTTCTTTTACTTGATTATGATTGAGTGAGATCCATAAGGGATAATTTAGAAAAAATTAATAAATATAAGAAACATGTCTTATAAAATCAACTCAATAACTATATCCTATATTAAGAACCGAAAGAGTATCAATATTATGATAATATTAATTACATATGATATAAATTATGAAAATATATAGTTGGCAAAAACTATATGAAAATATATAAGTTTCATGGCTCTTGAGTTATAAGTCGTACAATTATTCTTCTTCTTCTTTCAATAAATTTTGTGTAAAATATAGGATCCATGTAGTTTATGACATATAATGAGAAATAAAATCTGATTATGGCAGGGAAATCAGAGGAAGAAGCAATGAGTGACTACATTACAAAGGTGAAACAGCTCATGGAAGAAGCAGGCATTGCTATCTGAAAACATTTTCATCTTTCTTCGTTTTGTTTTTGCTCATTCTTATGCTACAAAATTCTCAGGATATTGAAAACAAACAGTTAGTAATGTTTATTCTCATACTATCATTAATGTCTAATTTGTTTGCACTGAATCATAAATTATCTTAAAAAAGAGTGGAATTAGTTATTTTATGCATGCATACATCACCGTTAATAATTGAACTCAAGGGAGGACCACCGTGGAAATAGCTTCAGTAGTGTGATTTCTGATTTGTGAGGCTTCATAATTGAGAGTAATAGAAGGATACAGTGGGGAAAGAGAAAGCATTACTCCACCATGGACATTAAATCCTTTATAGCCATAATACTTTGGGATTCTATTGAATAAAAGGATATCTAGAAACGTAATACTCTCTTACACCAGCAGCACCATCCCTTGCCAGAATCCCTTCAAGATCTCCAATAATTCTGGCCAGCCATATCTCCAAATTCCTCTGGATCTCTTTCATGTTGTTCCTACTTGAATCCATGGCCCTTCTTGCGGCCACTGTGTCATAACTCTTCCCAGTTTCAGTTTGCAGAGCCATCAGATTTTGCCCTGTTTCGGATGCCTGCTGTTGCAGCCGGAATGCCTCAAGTAAAAACTCCGTTTGTTTTTGCGTTTGAAATTCTGAACTCAGTGCAGTTTCACAAGGATTGCTTGCCTGCTGCTGGGGAAAAAAAAAAAAAAAATCCTGCTAAGCTCAAAATATGAACTATAAAGTGAAACCTAATAAAAGAATTAAACTTGCAAAGGACTTTGAACAAAAGATTAACGTAAGCGAGCTGCACTCAGATAGTCATGAAGTGACATTAAAGATAAAATTTAGACTGAAAGTAATAGATAACGGTCATCTCTATGCTTTTCCTCTCCTCACTTCCTCGTATTTATGGCATAAGTCTAATACTAGTACCAGCCAATATATTGTAACCAATCATTGGGTATATTTCGTATGATGGATTATTCACAAGAGAGCTACAAAAACCATGGAAGCAATAAAGCAGGAGGTTACTTACTATTCTTCCGCATAATTCGTCAATTTTTTCTGCAAGAGCTCGATATCTCATTGCCTGTTTCCTTATCAAGGATGGCACTTTTGAAAGATCACTTTTACCAGTCTTTTCCAGATTCAATAGTCCCCTCTCTAGTAATTTGAGTTTAGAGTAAACTCCAGCTGAACCACCATCAACCTTCCAAGGAGGTTCCCTTCTGGGCAAAAGAACAAAATTTACCTTCAGCTAGATGCAAGTTAACACAAACGCTTCCTATGTTATCAGCATCTAGATAATTAATTACCTCGCAACGCCATGCGTCATATCATATGTTGATTCAGGGGATTCGTACGGTACACCCTACAAAAAGTGAACTAACTTTAGCCTCAATTAACTTTTACCAGGAAGATTCCCATTTTAGGAGTAAGTTTCCAAATTAAAGATGATCTGAACCTAAACCTGCAATGTTGAATATTCCTGGTAATAGAAGACATCCTCAGAACCAACCAACAGGGTTCTAGGGCATGACCATATGTGACATATGAAGCACTTAATTTCTTTCACAACATGCTTTTGGAAGAATCTGGGCAGAGTAAACAAGCGGAACAGTAATAACAGTACTGGATAGGAAAAATTTGTAGTGAAGAATAGAAAATTGAGTGGGCTTGACGTATTAAAGACCCATGGTGATAAGATACCAGTACAACTAAAGAGGACGATTATATTAGATTTTAAGACATGCTTATTAATATACAATTTAGTGGCTTTAACAATAATTACACCACATAGACAGTAATAACGAAACCTGGCGAATGCTATCTCAAAATGTCAGAATTAGATAAGGCAGGTCCACTAAACCATGTTTTGCGTCGAGAGAAACTAGAAACAGGGCAAACGTGCATAGCGACATATCAGCTCATACAGGACAAATTGCAGTAAGAAAAAAAGCAGAAAAAGACAGACAACATGTGACAGCACGAGTCCATTATGAAATTGACTAAGTCCCTTCCGGCACGAGGCCATCTTGTACCCCAAATTCATCATGCATGCCAGTTTCTTTTTCCCATCTCAGGCGAAGTTCCAGTTTTACTTCCGTGATTTTGAAATCACAAATACAAGCATCTTCCTAACAAGCTTGAAGTTTGATTAAGTGGTCAGGAAACAGAAACGAACCCAAGACAAATATTTTATCACCTATATCAGATCCTCCACAATTCATGCAAAAAAGAAAACATATAATAGTTACTTCAGTTTTCTAATTCTCTTATATTTGTTTGATTGAACTATGAATTTTATACAAGATGATATGCACATGGAAGAGAAGTGAATGAGCAAGAACCTGCCAAAGGGCGTCTCTTTCTGCCGAGTACTTTGAAGCAGAGGCTACAAACTCAAAGTTTGTCTCTTGCCTCTGATATTTCTGATTCTGTTCATAAATAACCTCCACTTTCTCTGCGCCTCCACCATAGTCCCTGCTCTCGCACGCACCTGAATCCTCATCCTCTTCTTGTTCCCTTCTTGATATCAAGTTAAGCATTTTCTCCTTCTGTCTCACATCCCTCTGCAAATCCCCGATCCTGGTCTTCCATTCGACCTTGTATTTCTCGAATTCTGCAACCCTAGCTCTCAAATGCGCGATTTCCTCTGTAAATGTATCAATCTGGTGAAGCAATCGCTTCTCCTCAACCTGCCACGTGTTGCGGTGGCTGGCGAAAATCTCGACGACCCTCGCGTTGGCCTTGGAGTCTTCTTGCCTTCTCGACTTCATTTGCTTCAACTGCTCTTCCGCTTGGAAGAGCTTCGCAGAGAGCTCCTTAAGCTGAGACCCAAGTTTGTGAAAGAGAGGGAGTAAATTCTTCGGAAGAAAGGCCAGAAACAGTGAGAAGCCAATTCCAATATATGAAGACACAAGATTCTTTGTCTCATTATCTTCTTCTTCCTCTTGTTCTGCCATTGTAAATTCAGGGGTCATCTCCCAAACCAAATTTTGACAGAAAAGCAAGGACTTATACGGGATGGACCGTTAACAGAGCCATAGTCGGTGCTTGGTGGCGGTGAAGGCCTCTTGTGTTGGGAGTGTGAAGTTGTGAGTGGATCCTGACAGTGCATGAACTCTATGCGCGCAAGCGCGTGATGTGAGTAGAGCGTGGGCGGGCTTTAAATGCGGTGGTCAGGCCATTAGAGGCGTTCTGGGTGCTTTGTAAGAAAGAGTTGCAGAGGAAGGAGAGGACCCTGGAATATGACTGTTCACACTGGTGGTGCTGTTATATAGGAATGATAACTACTTTTTGCAGCATCCGCAAACATTAGCCATTTAAAATTAATAATGAAATAAATTCTTTAATGCTGCAGCCTTTGCATCGCATTTGGTATATCAAAACGCGTGTTTTTAAAGAATAAAAATTGGGTTAAGTAGGAAATTTATTTCAAAAGCTTTTACTAAGAAGTGTCACCGCAGGTTTTTCTCATATAAATTTGTTTTGAAAGTTTAAATTATAATAATACTGTTACCAGTCGTTAAAATATTAAGACCATTAAAATCATGACATTAAATGTTAATATTTTTAATAGTAGAAGAAAAAATTATTATAATTTTAAATTTTTAAAGACAAATTTAGATTGAATGTTCAAACAATAAAACAAAAAACTCTCTGGCATTGATAATGATAGTATTTTTTGCGCCAACAAGTTTATGATTGTAGTGTTAATATTTTGCTTACATTTTCAAATTACAAATATCCTCAATTTATTGTGTAGAGACTATAGAATTACTACTTCTAGTCCTAATTATAAGATCTTATTTATAATTTATAAACAAGATTTTGTAATTAAGACTGGGGTAGTATTATTTCCTTAAGTAACGGTAATAAGGTAGTAAACTGAATTAGTGATAACTAGGTCTCCACAAAATTTTGTAAAATTATTATAAATTGTATTGGTTTAGATAATAATATTTTTTTATTGGCAAAACAAAGATAATAATATTTTAAGATATTGGTTTTTTGTTTGGTTACAAAATAGAAGTAATAGTTTATTCATAACATTTTTTAATCACAAAACATAAAAAATATAGGAAAAATCGTAAATAAAAACTATAGAATTTAAAAAATTACAGATAAAGTTATTCATAAAGTTGTTGTCAAAACCTATCCTATTTATTGTTTTTTTAACCAGAGCCTATGCTATTTATTGTTAAAACCTTATAATGAGTCTTTATTTATAATTTTTTATATTTTATGGTTTTTATTTGTGATTGTCTCAAAAATATAATATATAAAAACAATAATTAACACGAAATCTAGAAGTCTTAACCAGCCCCAGCTCGTTGTATATATCGCCGAGAGCCCCTGCAATTGTTCGTCGAAGTTCCAGGCTTTGCACAGAATAAAGAAGCCGGGGGAACCAACGAAAAGGTGGGAATTCCCATTGCCTGAACTCATTCGTACCCGGATCGATCGAAGCGCCGGCTCCAAGTTTGTCACTGTTAACGCTGGCGTTCACTACGGTGCCTTGAGCTGCTGCACCCTGAATCGCCATCTCGTTCTGGTGTCGTTGGTGCTATGGGGGCAATTAGAAGGCTATAAAAGCTACAGTTGTAACGTTGAAACTACTGATTTGCATGTTCAAGAAGCATTTTCTTTTGGTTTGGGTATTTCTTCTGCAAACAAAACTCGAAAGCATACGAATCTTTTGGGCGGAGGAATGCTTGGGTTTCGTTTTCTGGGAGAAAGGTGAAATCGCGTTGAAGGGTTCACCCTCTGAGCTGTTAAAGCTGAGCATAGCAATAGATTGGGAAATTCAGAAGGCTATTTGTAAGAGTTCGCCGGCGACAGCGAGGTCAAGCGATTTGCCGGCGATGCCACTGGGGTTTTTTTTACATGACAAATTAACGGAAACTAAAAGTGAAACGAGATAATTAAGTTAAAATTTAGGAGTTTTAAGGTGGCAATTTGTCATTGGGGTCGACAGCCACCAGCACGAGTCTTAAGAGGAAGACGTGAAAAGGGGTTGAGAAGGAAGCAAAAGTCTGAGGCTTATTGGTCGAACTTACAATATTGAGGGTGGGGTTTTGCGTCCTTCTCTGTCGAAAGTTGATGACTTTTCTCAACACTTCTCTTCTATCTGAACCCATTTTATTTTCTTTGCCATTTCTGAAAGTGCCCTCCTCAAGCTGTGCTTTTGCAAGCTACTGAGTCCTGCGTTGATTTGTGATGTAGGCCTATCCATACGACATGGGGTATGATTCCGATAGCCCCTCACAAGATGGGAGGGATGAAGGTGAGTTGATTGAATAAAAATTATAGGAAAGCCAAAGCCTATAAAGAAAACAGCGCTTATCGTGAATTTTTGCTGTGTAATATGAATGACCTTGGTAGCTGATATCCAATATTTGTATAATTATTTAACTATTTAATTTATATTGTTGATAACACAGCAGATAGCACCATTAATGTTTATGAGTGAGGGATTCGTTAGTTCCTTAGTATCATGCAAGGCAAGAGGAAAAAAATTGGAACAAAAGCTTCAATAGGCCATCTAGAGTCTAGTTGTCAGTATCGTAGTCACACATGTCGTGAATAGTTCGGTCTATCAATCAAATTAATGACTTCCCTTCATTCATTCATTGAGTAACACAAAAGCACTTTACATGTGATTTTTCTAAGTTTAATAGGATAAAGGTACCTCCAATGTGAACAACATCTGCTCCCTTATTACGAACTTTCTCCTGAAAACTCTTCAAAGTGGATCAAATATTCTAAATCTAACTCTTGCTATGCGCTGAAATCCATGTTCTTGAATTCACGTTGAGCCGTATATGTAATTTTTAAACGTAGTTTAATTTCTTCTTTGTATAGTTTCTTTACTCGTTTTGTAAAATTTGAATCGGTAGATGATGATGAAGAATATGAGGAGGCTGGAAAAGGCAACCGTTTGCTGGGGTTCATGTTTGGAAATGTTGATAATTCGGGTGATCTTGATGCTGATTACCTTGATGAGGTATTTAAGCATCCTTGGACCACGCTCAATATTCAATATATGCGTTTTCATAATTGAGCTCATGCGTGTTCATATATTATATGTATGTTGCTTGTCCATTTTTCTTTTTTAATTCTTATTCCATGATTTCCTATGTATTCTATAAAGTTCTAGGTTATTTGTGATCCCCATTCATTTATGCTATCGTGATGATTCTAGTTTTATTAATTTAGTTATGAGAATATGTTTAAATGGTTGCTAGGATGAGGTTTAGGTTGCAAAACTTCGCCATCTGGATGTCCTGAACAGCACTTATACTGCTTTGGAATAGAAACCTTGCCTTTGAGAGGGAGGAGGGGAAGGGTTAATTAATTGTTGTGCTCTTACTATTTGTTGAGTTATAGAGGCATGCATGTATTTGTTGGAGATTTGTGCTGATAAGTAGCTGATTGAAAAATTGGGGTACTTTGGAATTGCAGGGGATGAGTGCATATGGTGCTAAAGAATTTTACCTCACTTATTTATTTGAACATAAATTTACCTTTGTAAGATTCATTGATAAGTTTCCATGTCCTAGTTTTTGAAGAAAGAACACAACTCTTGGGATTTTGAAGTTTGCTTTGTTTTTTTGGAAGGAGGGGGTATTAGCAATTTTATGCTTGCATTGACCATTTCTGACACTAATTGAGCATGTTAGAACTTGCAATTCCAGACCATCGATGAACAACAATGGATCATGTCTGGTTGAAAAAAATGGAGGGGAGGTACTTTCCTTCCTGCGTTTGGTTGAAACAAAATCGAGGGGAGGCAATCTCTCCTCCTATTCCTCTCCTCCTAAGTTGGGGGGGGGGGTTAGAGTGATAATTGAAATATTTCTCCTCCCCTCCATCGAACCAAACAGTGAGTTCAGGGCATTGTTGGAAGATTAAAATGTCTTGCAAATGGTTTCATGCTGATTGAGGTCTTTCAGAATAAATAATATTTCTTGATGGAACACTTCTTCTTCTTAGATTGGTTGCTGGTTCCTTCCCCTGCTTTCTGTCCAGTCCTTTTAATATTCTTAATAATCTACCAGTTGTGAGTTTCGTTGAGTCTACATTTTTTTTTTTGGGCCAGCAAAAGAAACTTTATTCAAAGGAAGATAATATTTTAAGGAATTAAGATAATGAAACAAACTGTATGGGGTTGTTGGTCAGAATTGGCTGTTCCTTAGAGCCTGGCAATTTAGAGCTGAATGTCTTGATTAGATTCAAATGCTTTAGATGGAAGTCTTTCGTGGCTGCAAAATATATTGATTTTTTTGTTCTTTGGTTCATTTGGTTGGAAGCTTGCATCAAAGGGTATTCATGCCTTCATATATTTATGTGTTGGGATTGTATTATGGTCTCTTTTTGGTGTAATGTTTTTGGTTGCTTTGATGCTTTCTCATGATTTCTTTGAGGGCTTTTGTCTATCGTAGTATATAGAGCCCTGTACAAATATATATGATTTTTAACTTCACAAAATTTGCATACAGTCGAACAAGATGATAAATAGTAATTATGTACAGTAAACAGTAGTATGGATATATTGGTATATTATTTGTAGAGGGATTTAACAGCTTTGCAAAATGCCCAGAACTCAGTCTGTCTATAACTTTATTTATCTATGCTTGCTATATGTAGTTTTTCCATTGGAAATCTTGTTCTCCTTTATTGCATTTTATCTCTTCCCAGTAATGTTCTTTCTTTTACCAGGAAAAAGTATGCTAATGTGTCTAAATCCCTATTTTAGGGGACTCGTATTTGTTCGATTTTGAATTGTTTATCTGCTTGTTTGAGGCTTTTGTCTCGTTTCCAGCATTATCTGAAATTTGTTCTAGTTGAAAACTACTAAGTTGGTGGTAAATCAAAATATTTTCTTTTTAGGATGCAAAGGAGCATCTTTCTGCACTTGCTGAGAAGCTGGGTGCTTCCCTGACAGATATAGATGTAAGCATACCTGTCTACTATTATTTTAATGTGCAACGCTCTTTGATTTTGTAGTTTAAGTAACCGTCTGTTTATGTGGGTAGTGTGAGAAAATATCTAATCTTTAATTTTTTGAGTTGATGTAGCACTTCTACTTCTTCTATTTTGATGCTAATGATGCCTTTTTTGGGTAGTTGTCAGGAAAATCGCCACAAACACCACCTGACATTGTCGAACAAGGTGAAATTGTCTGTTGGGAAAAAACTATATCATTCA